GGCTCTACCTCCTAAAATTTGCTGCACTTCCCAAAATTGCACCACCAGCCGGGACCAAGTGTTCAGCACATGAGCTTATGGTGGAAACTTCATATTCAAACCGTAACGGGATGGGAGGGGGGACTGGGAGACACAGAAAGGGAGAGAGGGGGAAAAAGAGAGAAGGAGAAAGGAGGGAGGGAGGGAAAAGAGGGGTGGGGAGGGAGACATGACTGCCTCTCTCCTTTTCCTCCAGGTGATTTTCAATGCTCTCAGGCCTTAACGCCATTATTTTTGACAGACAATCCAGGTAAAGGCAGAGAAGAGAGAAAGCTAAAGCCCAGAGGTGGAGGTTAAGCCCCACCGACCATCTGGAATGGGGAGCAGCTCGAAGCCTGAGGCTCCCAGCTATCTCTGCGTTATCTGATTGGCTTGGCATTGCCTTGCACCATGGGGGTGGGGGAGAAGGGACCAGCTGTCTCCACCTCCATGTACCCTTCTTTGGCCTCCTGGATTTGGAGGTCTGTCTTCTGAACCAGCTTGTTACTCCCCACCCTCCACCCCCGCTGCCTCACTCTAATAAGATCCAATCTGAGGGGAAGGTCGAAGTTCAGACGATTGATTTTTTTTCCTCCACACATTTGTGAGCTGCTGATTTCATTATTTCACATCTCACTTGCAGGGAGCACAGTCCCAGCTGGGTCAACACTGTGGTTCTGAGGAGGGCTGCAATGTGGACAGGATGCCACCCGTCCCCCTTACTGGGGAGCCAGAGCAATCACCCTCCCCAGCCCAGCTGTGCTGCAAGGCTCTGAGACTCCAACCGAGGCCCACAGCCCCCTAACAACCAGGAGTTTGTTTCACAGTTTGTGCGGACGGTTTGTAAGAAGATGTGACACATTTCTCCCAAATTCACAACCAGAGAGAATTCATCCATGCACTGCCAGAACACATCTCCTGTGAAGCATGAAAAATCCCAGGAGCTGAGGAACGAGGGACTGAACCACAGACTAATGCAAGCCAGCCGGGCCTTTCTGAAGAACATACAAAACATGGTGTGCCGGCCTCATCCCAGCTGCTATTATCACTGCAATTATTCCCACCCACCTTACAGGGAGCCAGATGCCTGCTAGACGAAGCACAGGCCGCCCTCCTCTGGTGTTTGAGGCACAGAAACCAACAGAAAGCCAGGAGAGGTAGAGCTACAGCCACTGGGCAGCTGTGATCATAGCCATTCTCAATTTATACCAAACAGACAGCAGAGCCTCCCAGCCCACATGCACAGGTGCACCCTCAAAAAACCTCAAACACTGTCGCCTTCTCCCTATAACCCCTCCCTCACCCCTCACCCCATCCCATCCCTATATCCCAATCCTTTTACCAAGAATGGGAGTGAAGTCAACCTGGGATAGAATAAGAAAAATGGGGTTAGCCAGGCACAGTAGCTCATCTATAATCCCAGTTACAAGGATCATGATTCAATGTCAGCCTGGACAAAAAGTTAGCAAGACACCATGTCAACCAACAAGCCAGGCATGTGGTACACATCTGTAATCCCAGCTACATGGAAGGTGTAGATCCAAGGTTCCAAGTGGGTACCCAGCTCTGGGCAAGAAGCATGAGACCCTACCTGAAAAAAATAACTAAAGTAAAAAAAAAAGAGTGAGAGAGAGAGAAAGAGGCATGGCTCAAGCAGTAGAGCATCTGTCTGCAAGTGCAAGGCCCTGAGTTCAAACTGCAGTACTGACAACAAGAATAAAGGCAGTTTAGTGTGTGAGAAGCATGGAGCTCACTGGATAAAAGCTGTCCTTCCAGACCCCTGCATCAAGGACTTGCAGAAGAAAACAGTAGTTTGATATCAGGCTGAGGGACTGGGATCGCAGGAATAAAAGTCAGATGAACCTGTCTTTTATGTGGTTCCTGACCTTCTGCACATTTCTGCTCTGTCAGCTTCCTTGCTGGGGACCTCCTGATCTTCCAAATGCTTAAAAATGTTCTCCTTTTAGGGGGAGGGCATAAAGAAAGGGGGTAGGAGGGTGAATATGGTGGATATATTATGTATTCATGTCTGAAAATGGAAAAATGAGACCTGTTGAAACACTCCAGGAATGGGGGAGGGGGAGATAAAGGAGAATGATGGAGGGGGGCGAATTTGACTAAGATACATTGTAAGCACTTTTGTAAATGTCACAGTGTATCCCCAGTACAACAACAATATGACAATTAAAGTGTAATTTAAAAAAGGTTCTCCTTCTGTCCACTGGCAGGAAACCATCTTGGTTAGCTCTACTCAAAGGCAGTGGTGATGTCTCACCACCACTGTGAAGCCGTGTGGTCCACTGCAGACAGTGGAGAGCTGAAACTGCTGCTCTGGGTTCCGTCATGACATCCAAGCCAAGGCACTGGGTCTCCGCCACCCCAGAACGCATCCTTCTCTCAGGCTAGTGTGTGCTCGCATGGAGTCAAGCTGAAGAGATCCAAGCAGCTCCATGAAAATCTCCAAGGATAAGGATGATAGACCTTATAAGGAAGAGTGCGCTGCTTTCCCAGGTTTTCGTAATATTCTGATCTCTGCAGCCTCTCTCCAAAGACTTCCCTATTTCCCAGTTTGTCTGCATCTCTCCACCTAAGAAAAGTGTTCTCATAGCAACAGTGGGAGCTGTTGACAGCTGTAAGACTGACTCATCCGACAGGGCACCTACAGAGTAAACCCCTGAATCAGCCACAGCAAAAATCAACAGGATCATTTATGATGAGTCAAAACTCACAGACCAGACCCAGCTCTCTATCTGCTAAGCCACAAGACTCCACACTGGCTTTTCTCAAACCCTCTGTCCATTCTGTAAGTCCAAACTGCCTTCCATCAGCATGGAAATGGTGAGCCTTCTGCTTACATGGAAAACCCATGTAGAGATGAGGGTTTCCAGCTGATATGTATGGCAGGAAGCAGTTGGAAGTCTCACCTTTCCTGGGTGGAAGGCAGGAAACTAAGCAAGCAGGACAAGCACTTCCATTCCACAAAGTACCTCCATAGGCCTCGAGCAAACAAAGTCGATGCCTCCTGAATACCACCAGGCTATGAGGATGTCACACAGGGCACGTCACACAGGGCACATCACACAGGGCACTCATTCTCTGGCGTGTGCCTATACTCCTAAGCCTTCCTCCTGGCTTCCAGAAGTCACTAAGTCCCCATGTTTTCCTGTGGTCATCTCAGCACAAACAGGAGAGATCCTGTAACTGACCTGACCTATACAACCTCGGGGGAGCAGCTGGGCTTGGGGTGATGGGTCCTCCCCAGACAACACAGTGCCAGGTTCAAGACCACCCTCACATCTCGTCAAGTCACATCTCACTACTGAAGTCTTTCAAGAGACTGTGGGTCAGTAGGAGCCTGGACAAAGCTCACATTCCCTGCCTCTCTGCGCCTCATCTGATTAACAGGCAACAAGCACACATGAGGAGAAAAACCTACAAGGAATTCCGAGATCCAGGTTCTGTACTCAGTTCCATCACCTACCGTGCTATGGAGCTCCCTGTTTCTGAATGGAAAGAGATTTAGGAGGCTCTCAGAAGGCATCTTCTACCAGTTCAGACCCAGGGGTAGCACAGACATGCAAACGATGGTCTCCCACCAACTGCATCAGTTGAGGGGGGGTGGGGGGCTTCCAAGTTGTTAGGTTGGTTTTTTGTTTGGTTTTTTTTTTTTTTTTTTTGGTGGTACTGGGGTTTTCATTCAGGGCCTCACACTTGCTAAGTAGGCACTCTTACCACATGAGCCACTCTGCCAGCTCTAGGCTTCAGAGTTTCTGCCCTGACCCTTGCTTGAGGTCACAGCTCAAGCACAGTGTGAAAAGGCAGGCAGAACCAGGATAAGCTGCATTTGGCTGAAGTCTGGCAACAGCCCAGCTCATCCTCCTCCTCCATGTCACAGCAGAGGGTCAGATCTGTGAGGGAGACAGGTCCCACAGAAGACTGTGAGGAGTCCTGAGCAACTCCCTGGACTAGTGTATTGAGTTAGAAGCCAGGCCACGATGCATGTGTGGAAGAGAATGGTCACTCACTGTCCACCCTGACACACATGTGGATGGCAGCTTGGAGACCAAAATCCTCATCATAAAAATGGCAAGCAGGAAGTGTGACAAGTGCTTTCTACCCAGCTCTGCATTGAGAGTGTCTGCATATTAACTCTGCTCATCCAGGGCACAGAGTCTTTATCATCAACCCTTCTCCAAATCAGCCAGGAAGCAGTTGAGTGAGGATCTACCCTGGACCACCACAGGGGACACTTCAGTGACCTGTGTCCACACAGTAATGGAGCACAGCAAAGAGCCCTGTGCTTACTTATCTATCTCACAACCCTCCGCAGTGCAGAACACAGGGAAGACCTGCTCCATGGCAGAGCAGATAAGACAGCAGGCTTGAAAATTCAGGAGCAGCAGCTCAAGTATCAGTTTTCCCTCCTGTCAAGTGAGACTGTGGTCAAATTATTAACCTTCTTAAACTTCTTTTGCTCATCTGTAAAATGGACATCATAACAGAGTGAGAAAAGCTTAGCCTGGTTACATGGTAAGCACTCAACAAATGCTAGCTTCCAACCCAAATCCGTCCTTCCAGACAGAAACACTCACTGAGTTGCCTTCCCTCAATGGCACACGCATCCCTTGGTGACAGGCACCATCCTCTCTCCAGAGAATCATCCTCAGTCAAAGTTGGTACCGTAATCTCAACCAGCTGAACCCCAGAGCTCCCAGAGACAGAGACAATGCCCTGGAGATGTTTTTACATCAGAAGGACAGGTGCTTGGGCATTTAGCACATTGGGTAGCCAGGAAACAAAATGACTCTCAATGCTTAGGACTGAGTCACACAGGGAGGGTTTTCCCCCCAAAGTCCAAAAGTGCTTCCATTGAGAAATGCAGACTACTTGAAAAGCATCTGTAGAGTAAGGGCAAACACAGTCACTCCAGTAATCAGCTCAAAGAGGCAAATGATCCAAGATCAGTAGGACATAGCCAGTACCTCTTTATGGTCTCAGGAGGCTCCACGAAGAAGGGTACCTGCCTGGCTGAGGCCAGGGTGTCACGTGTGGCCTGGCTGGCCTCCTGTAGCTGGCCCGGGGACAGCCGGGCCATCAATGGCATCAGATTGCAGCTCTGCCACTGGAGTTGCAGCTCAAACTCCTCCATCTCCCTCCTCAGCTGCTGGTCTTTTGCCTCCAGCACCGACATCTTTGCTTGGAGGGCTTCAATTTCTTTCTGCAGAGGATGGGGAGAACAGACTTGATAAATTAACTCTGCTGGCAGCAGGCTGCTCTGCTGATAATGATTCTTTCAAATGAGAGGAGTCCATATGCACAAGAGCAAAGCTCCCCTACGGAAGCAGGCAGAGTTGGGAGTTTGCCGAATTGGAGAAACTGTGTCAGCTTTCATTCTGATGAGCTGGCAGGAGAGCCATCCCTCCCAAGCACTAAATAACTATGGGACAAAAAAGGAGTTGACCTGGAGGAACCCAGCAAATAAAACATGGCTGGCTTTGCTTCAGACGGACAAGCTGAGACAAAGGCAGCGAACGGCACACACTGAGATCCGAGCCACAACCAAGACTGGCCCATTCTGCTCTGTCCCAAACATGAGAATCTAGAGTGAGAGGAAGATAAGAATCCTGGCTTCTCAGGAACACCAGACTGAGAGGACTAAATGCTGCAAATAGTCATGGGACCTAAAGCTCATAAAAATGTCAGATAAATTTAATTTCCACTAACATAGCAAACCAAAATCCAAATAATAATCTGTAACTATCATCCATCCGGAGTTCCATGAATAAAGCAAGCAGCAGGTAACCAAGTGCTGGAGTGTGCACAGTGTTACTGCAGAACTCTCTCTCACTGCCCATGGGATTCTGAATTAAAAACCGGAGGAATCTTACTGACCAGGTCCCAAGCTCCCTGTTCTGTTCCTCCCTGATCAGAGTACAGCTCTGTTCTCTTGACCCCAAGGCTCAGATTCTGCACAGCTTCAACCTCCCGCTCCACCTCTAGTCCGGGAGGAGTGAGAGGGAGATGAGGCACTGAACAGCCAAGATGGTTGAAGAGAACGTAACTTCTGCATCACCTGTCGGCCCCTGATCTCAGTGTGGTCAACAGGCCTCTCAGCTAACCTCCCTGCTTCCACTTTGACTCCTATGCCTCCTTCCCTCCTTCCTCCCTCACTCCTTCCTTTCCTTCTCTTTTTTAGTCTCTCTAAACTATGGTAAAATGCACATGACATAAAATTTAGCATCTTAACCATTTCCAGTGCACGGTTCCGTAGCATTAAGCCCATTCTCCTTATCATGCAACCATTGCTGCCTCCGTCCACAGAACTTTTCATCTTTTCCCACTGTGCTATGTCCACAATGAACACTAACCACCCCTCACCCCTGCCTGACACCCACCATTGTACTTGAAGAATTCCCTACTCTAGGGACCTCACACAAGTGGAGTCACACAGTATTTGTCCTCTTGACACTGGCTTACTTCACTTAGCATGGTATCTTCAAGGTCCACCTATGTTGAGGACTGTGCGGGACGTCCTTCCTCTGAATGATACTCCTTTCATTCATTGATGAGCACAGGCTGTTGGCACCTTACGGCTATAGTGGGCAGCTGCTGTGGACGTGGTTGTACAGACACTGCTTCATCCCCATGGTTCTGATTTACCAGGTGTATCCCAAAGTGGGATTGCTGGATAATGTGACAATTTTAATTTTCTGCAGACCCTGCACACTGTTTCCACAGTAGTCTTATATACTATTCTTCACTCAGCAGTTCTTCAAAGTGTGTCCAGATCCTGTCCATTTCATGCTTAACCAACAATGGCTCCCCATTGCCATCACAGAAAAGCCCAGGTCCTTGCCTCTGACCTCCCCACCCCCTCCCCACTGCATCAGCCTCCTGATGGCCTTCTGAACATACGGCACTGGCCTCGGTCCTCTGCCCAGAGGCCTACCAGATACGTACGTGAGGCCTGCCCCTTCTCTGTTAGGTGTTTACTTCTGTCTCACTCCTCCCTTCCCCTGGCCTGCGCGTAGAAGCTCTTACCACCTACAGCACGCTGGTTGTCTAGTTTAGGTTCTCACGATGTTTATCACTCACGGTCTCTCTCCACACTCCCACCCCCAGAGATAGAAGCTACAGGATCCTAGCATTCAAATAGCATCTGGCACAAGGCAGACACTCAACAGAGCTGAGCACCTTCCCCCAGAGCTCTGCCAACAGCACGATACAACACAACAGTGCTTCCAGCACCAAGACCTGGGCCTAAGATGCTTTCTGCACACTCAGGCATCCACAGGAATGGTGTATACCTTTAACTGGTGAATATTGTTAAAAACCAATACCAGATTTTACATTTCTAGCTATCCAGACTCTATAGTGCTGCTCACTACATGCATGAGTACCCAGTTTGTTGGGGGATGTTTTGCAATGATTCTCAACTCCCTTCACCCCCTGGCTACTGTAAAGACTTCGATGAGGACAACTCAGATACAGAAACTTCTCTGCATGTGAGCAACCTGCCCAGGCCCCTCAGCTGGTCTAAGCGCATCAACCATGGAGATCCCATGCTCGTAGCTCTAACCAGTGTTACCATTCCCCCCATTCCTGCTCCAAGCCTCCAGGCTCAAGCAGGTTCTCTGTCCATAAGCTGTCCTGAGAGTCCCCAGCTCCTGACTGGCCTTTGGTGTCACCACAGTGCTGCACCCAGATTTCTAGCCCCAGACAATTCTTGGCCAACTGTCACTATGCTCTGAGCCAAGCACAGCTTCCACACAGCCAATGGCTCGTTCCAGGCACACCCAAATTGCAACAATCACTCAACAGCTGCTGCTGAATCCATCACAATAGAAATTCCTGCAATGCATCCAGAGCACAGACCTCCTTCTGCCTTTCCAGGGACCCATCTAACGGTCAGATGACAGCAGCAGACAGGGGGAGCACAGCCAGGTCACAAGGAATACAGAAAACAGGCACACACTACAGAGCTGCCAACCCCTTTGTGATGAGGCTCCTACCTGCCCTCTGGTCACTTTCCCACCTGTCCTTTGAGTTGCCACACTCCAGCAAAGCAAAGGTGCACTTAGCCACATCTGGAAGTGGATAAGAAAAGACCAGCCCCTCTCGGGAAGATTCCTCACCAGCTCACCTGCAACAGCTGCTTCTCCTGAAGAAGCCGTTCCCACCTGGTGACGGACGCTTGCAGGCTGTCCTGGGCAGTGGGCTCCAGCAGCCTCACCTCACCTCCAAGTGGGGTTGGGGTGTCATCACTGCCAGTCCTAAAGGTAACAGATAAGGTGTTGGTACAGGTGTGCGAAAGCTAACGTGCTCAGGTCTACAGGTATTTTAAGAAACTTCGTGTAATCCCAGCTACACAGAAGGCAGAGGTAAGAGGATCAAGGTCTGAGGCCAGCCCCAGGCAAAGACTCAAGACACTATTTGGAAAAAAAACAAAAACCTAAAGCAAAAGAGGGCTGGAAGACTGGCTCAAGTGGTAGAGCACCTACCTAGCAACCACAAGGCCCTGAGTTCAAACCCCAGTACTGCAGAAGAAAAAAGAGGAAAATAAAAAGAAGAAACCTCACAGAGCTTTCCCCAGTTGTCCGATGGTTAGGAGGCTCACAGGCGTGAGGTTCCTAACATGCATTTCTGCTTTAATTACAATCTTTTGGGGCCTTTGCTTTTTCTCCAGCCAAATTTTCCATATAGTAGCCCCGGCCACATGAGGCTGCTGAGCACCTGACATGTGATTACTTCTAACCAAATGGTGCCGAAAGTGTAAAGTGCACATGATTTGAGGAGTTTATATGAAAACAAAGAGTACTAGATAACTCATTAGTGATACTTTTATGTTCACTAAATGTTGAAGTGATATTTTCATACACTGTGTTGAATGAATACATTATTAAAGTTAATTGCACCTGTTTCTTTTTGCTTTTTTACTGTGGCTACCAGATCAATTAACGTCACACATGAGCCTCACATTCGATCTCCCTGGACAGCGGTGCCTTGAACCACCCAGCAGAGCAAATCCAAGGGCTGGTCTTGGCAGTGGACACCCAAAGGGGGTGTGACACCTGCACACACCTCTCAAAACCTGTTTGGCTCCTTCTTACTTGTGCATACTTGGTGACAATGACACTGGGGAAGTGTGGGCCAGGCCGCAGCTTGGTGCTGTGAGACCTTCACCCCTGGGTCCAGCAGGAACTGGTCATCAATGCAGGGCAAACTCAGACCATTCACCTGAGCAAAACTATGTTGACAGCACCAGGAGGAAAGCCTCACCAAGTCCATCAGCTAGAACTAAAAGGCAAATTCCAGAAAAAATGAGGCCACATTAAGTGTCAGAAGAAGGGATGTCATGGCTAATTTAGAAAGACTTCCTTCAAATCAGGAAGCAAAAGATGAGTGTGCCCAACAGAGCATCCACAAAGAGCTAAAGAAAATATTTATCGTCAAAAATGGTTCTGATGCAAGTCCAAGCAACAAAATGTATCACCTAACAAATGGGCAAAGGTTTTCATAAACTCTTTAGTGAGAAGAGGGAGTAATAACAAGACCTAAATTTTAATAAACTTTGAACCAAGAGTTGATTGTACATAAATCATGTAATGTACACAAAGATGAGTCACAAAAATGTCACTTTTTTTCTCCATAGTGCCAAGCCCAAAACCCCCAAATGCCATTAGCTGAGGACAGCACTGCAAACTGTGGTGTGGCCCGAGGAGTGACGTCACCTCTAACTATGTCAGGAGGGAAGACATGTTGCATGGGAAACTTCAGATGTTGCTATTTTCTCTAGCGTGGGTGTAATAGCCATGTGTGTAGTATAACTAACTATTATACAAATACAATGTATCTAAAATACAGGAAGGGAACTATCCACCAACAGGATATCAGCTCTTATCCCTGGGTGGTGGGATTGCTTCTTTCTGCCCTTCTTTTCTAAAGTCTCTATTAGGACCGTGCATTATTTTTAGAACAATAATAAAAATGTTTTCTGCCTCGTAAGATTTCTTCTCTGGGCTCTGGCATGGCATGGTTCTTGACTGTGAACCTCAGAGGCAGACTAAACTCTTCCTGCAGTGACGTCTCCAGCACCTAGCACTGAGTAGGGGCTGGGCAGGTCCCTGGTGGGGTGGTTTAATGAGCCTGCAGCCTAGAAAATCCAGAAGTCATTTATACTGCATTTCCTAATGCATTACATCATTTCATTGCACTCATTGATTTCCCAATTTGCTCTGCTTATGCTAATACTAAGAGATTCTTGAATTTCCTGGCTAGATCCATGTGGCTCGGGCAAGAGTTATTGCAGGAAATCAACACAGAATCAAAAATTAGCCGCAGAGGGGTTACAGGTGCGTAGCTGGGAATTCTCTGCATTGTGGTTAATCACACCTGTTAGAAAGGCCCCATGATTAACCAAACCCCTGTGTGTATCTCATACTCCAGGTGCCAAAAGCAACCCACAGAGGGCTGAGTCAAGGTCCCAGGACACACCGCTCATAATGAAGCAGGGACAGGTTTCCATCTTCCTGTCTTCAGTACTCAGAGCTTCCCTGTGCCCCTGTAATACTACTGATCCCTTCTTATTCGCCAAGTCTCTGTGTAATCCCTCATGTCAGTGCAAATTGGCATTGTTGCTATAAACTAATGAGGATGTAAACTGAACAAAGCCCTCAGGGTCAGGAATTAAAAACAGCAGGACAGAATGTTAGATCAGCCCACAGCCCAGGGGACCTGGGGCTTAGATCCTACTCTCAGACCCAGAGTTTCAGGCAGACCCTACCCATACGTGCCCAGCAGTGAAAAACTGTTGATCTTTCTACTCTACTGTCTTCCACTCAGCATTTAAAGAGGGATGCACCCAATTTGTAAGATAAGGCCCTGTGCCACAGAGAAAAGTGTAGCTTCAAATTGCACTGGAAGAATTTTTCATTCCCTGGTAACATTCAAGACACTCCATGGTGGCGAGCGCTTGGTTCAGCAAGGTTGGAAGAATGGCACAGCCATCTGAGTGACCAGGATCTCCTGCAGGCTGTCAGGAACCTGTGTGGTCACCACATTCCCAGCACAGCACCCAAATCCAGGCCCTCCAATGCCCTGGTCATGCCTAGCACCGTCAGAACAACATGGCAGGGCAGAGAAGAGGCTGACAATCGACCTTGAGGACATTCTGTACCAGAACCACCGGAGGCCACACTGTGGCTGGTGCAGCTGTGGGCGTCACAGAGCTGCCTTTCTCACACTCTGACACCAGTCTTCATGGCCAGTGGTCCGCTGTTGTGGGGCTCGTACAACTTCAGTGTCATACCGGACAATGACACTGTCACAGTTAGTAAAACATGGCCCAGGGGACAGCCACCTCCATTCAGGTGGCTGCATCTGGCAGGAGTTGAGCACCTTCTGAACAGCACGACTGGTCGCTGCTCACAGCAGAGCCGGCTCTTCCAAATTCATGTCTTATGACTGTGAGTTCTCATCTCTGCCTCTCCGGGAAGACAGTGATAAGAAACGTGGAACCTAAAACAGCTTCCTCATCTAGTAACAATGTCATTTATCACCAAGACCATCTGGCAGCAGAACAGACTCGTGTGAAATCTCTAGGGCTGACCCCATCGTTCTTCCTTATGCGAATGGTTTGGGTGTAGAAGCAGTAAGGAGAAGGGAGCAGAGGTCAGCTCCTTAGGAAACTGACCCTCACCGTTCTACCTAGTCTTGCCCCTCAGAGAAATGACCACCTGCGAGAGGGACCCAGGGTATTTATCTGGCCTTGGGACAGGGGTCAGCTGAATTTGGGCATAAGGGACAACTCAAGAGACGCTCATTTGGAAGTCTTCTATAATCCACTAATTCTAAAACGAGTTCTGAGGAGCTCCTGTGGTCCACCTCAGCTCATTTGTCTGCTTTCCTTCTCCCTCCTCTTCTTGATGACAAAGGGGCTAAGGTAGTGTCCTGGGAGTGGGACAAGTGACATGCCAGTGTACCCCACTACCCCCTGCCTCCTCCAATTCAGGATTCAGAAATACATCCAGGTGCACTGACAGCAAAGGTCCTCTTACATGGTGTCACGGTTCACACCCTCGGTAGAAGGTGTCTGGAAGTTACTTTCTGGCCTCAGGTAGTGCGTGCTCATTCCAATCTGAGCTTGGAACTGATTGTCACTGGGCCCTGTGACCCCTCAATCTGCAGTGTCCCCATTTGACAAAGGAAATGAAGAGCCCCGTGCGTGGGAGGGGACAGAGGGAGGACACTCGGTTGGGCAGCAGCATATGATGCTCCTCCACGACCACCTCTCTGTCTGGAGTCGGGGGTCAGGGGAGGGGGCAGGACCAGCAGGCACACACAGCTGGATTTCACCTGCTCTGCCTTCACCACACCGTGGGAGCTTTTAAACTCTGTCATATTTAGATTACTGTGTTTAACATTATCCTCTAAGAAAGGCTCTCTGATACTGGATGTTGTGTGCATACACACACACACACACACACTCTCTCTCTCTCTCTCTCTCTCTCTCTCTCTCTCTCTCTCTCTCTCTCTCTCTCTCTCTCTCTCTTTAGGTAACAAAGGTGACCAGTCTGGATCTGAATATACACACTGGTGAAGATCCCATGGAAGCTACATGGGTATATAGTTAGAGAACAGCAAAGAAAGAAGGAGAAAATCACCAAACATACTGACCACCTCTTAGGAGCTGCAGGGGACTCAGAGGGAGGCCAGGTCAGAGCAAGCCATCAACAGCACCTACTGCAGTGGCCTCGGCCACAAGGGCACATCACCCCCACCCACAGAGATGCCACAACTGAGCAGCATGGAGACAGCTGAAAATGCTGCTGTGGGGGCCTGAGCACCCACTAGCTGAGTGACAGAGGTGTGCCAGCTTCTCACCTAGAAAGTGGCTATCACAGATGTCACCCCCATCAGGCATCCCTGGGGCACAGGAACCCCACGAGAGAGTCTGAGCAGTTGCCCAGGTGGGGAAGGCTATGTCCGAGTCAGGGCCTGGATGAGGGGGCCCCTCTTGTGACTGTGCGTTCCACAAGAGAGTGACCATACAGAGGGAATGGAGTCCTTTAGCCAGGGAGGCAGCCATGACAGCAGGGTGGGAAAACTTCAGTCAGGACCTGAAACTGGAGTTTCAGAGTGGAGTGGACTGAGTGAAAGTCAGGGAGAGAAATGGTCCCAGACATCTGTGCCATCTGCCCAGGACATCACTAAAAATGGGAAGAGTGGTCAGGACCAGTGGCTCACACCTGTAATCCCAGTTATGCGGGAGGCAGAGGTAGGAGGATCACTGTTCAAAGCCAACCCTGACAAAAAGTGTGACACCTTACCTGAAAAAAGTGACCTAAAGCAAAAAGAGCTGGGGGGGTGTGACTAAAGTGGTACCACACCTGCCTAGCAAGCATGAGGCCCTGAGTTCAAACCCTGGTAACATTTAAAAAAAGGAATGGGAAAGGTGGATTCAACAGACCAGATATTACCACAACAGTTTTGCATCTGTGCCCCGCACAGATGTGACAGCCAGCTCACCTAAGAATCGGTTCCTTCCTGAGCTATGGGAACCAGAGCAAGAGAGAAAGTGTGGGGACCAACAGCCACTATCAGAGGGACACAGTGATCCCTGGAGATGGCAACACCAGGGGTGACTCAAACTGCTGAGAACTAAACATGCTTTTTTAGAGGTTGAAATAAACAGTAATTTTGATAACAAATAGCAATAAAACTAAAAACTTAGTAGCTGGCTGTAGCTCAGGTTTACATTTCCTTAAATCTTACTCTACGTTTTCTCCACCTGGGTCCCCCAAAGCCCTCTGGAGTGGTAGAAGGGTTTCGGCTCTGCATGGTCTCCCAAGATGACCTGCAGTTTGAATGCGTGGACACACATGGCTCATGATGGACAATGCCTGATTTCATCAGATTCTCAAAGATGCCCATGATCCTAGAAAGGTGATGAAAACTGGCCGTGTGAACACAATTATCTTATTTCTACAGGAAAATTCAGTGCACTGGGCAATGTCCTTCCCCTGGACTGAGTCGGCCAGTGGGAAGTTTGTGTCCAGGGCCCCCTGGTGGCCAATGTGAGGACTGCAGGTGCCACAGGTCCAGATGACCCAGATGAGGGACAGAGGTCACAGGCCACAGGGGCAGCTGGTACACAGGACAGGAATCTTTAATTATTAGCAACTATGTAACCATGTTAATGTGCATTATAAAAATGTAATAAAGAAGTTGACTGATTCCAAGTCATTATTTTTCAGCTATGGCAATAATAAGACAGGTGAGTTTGACAAAAGAAAGGCCAGGAATAATATGTAAATAACTGAAGAGCAGAAAACAAGGCCTAATTCAAGCCCCTCATGTTCTGATGAGGGGAGCAAAGTGTGCAGAGGTTAGGGTCCCACAGCAGCCACACTCAGCTGGTTAGAGGAGCAGACAGAGCAAAATCCCTGCCTCACCTCCTCTCTCTCTCTCCCCCTCACTCCCTCTTTCCCTCTCCCTTTCTTCTCTTCTCTGTCCCTCCCTCCCTCCATCTCTCTCTGTGTTCACATATGCACTGTGAAACTATACACAAAGGTGTACACATGTGCAACCCATCCTTCAATTCACTGATAAAGGCAAAGAAGGAGGGAGCCAGGCAGTGACCCAGATTGAAGATGTGAATACAGGAAGGAAACCTTGGCACAGAGGTGAGGACACAAGAAGATAGGAGGCAGACGACAGATGCGAACAGAGTTAGAGGCTGAAGGAGTCGGGGGTGAGGAAAGGGAGGAGCTGAGAGGCCTCACCAGGGAAACTGCAGAGGAGGTCATGGACACGGGCATCCAGGAGAAGGAGAGGATACGTTCAGTTTCACAAGATCATAAAGGCAGTAAAGGCAAAGATAAAAGGATGGTGCCTTTTCATGATAAACGGATGAACTCAGTGAGGGTAAGGGAGAAGCCCAGAGGAAGTGGAGGTGCAGGCCAGTGCTCTGTGGAGAGTGAGGGCTCCCCAGGAGAAGGTGAGTAATCCCCGGGTGGACGCATGCAGAATGGCACCTATAGCTTCTGTGACACCCAGAAGTACACAGGCTAGAGAGAAGGAGGGGATGTCACCATGAGGACACAGGAAGAGGAGCAGGACCTGACGGCAAGGAGAGTGACCCATAAGCAGACAGCAGGACGTGAGCAGAGTCTGAACAGTCTGGCAGGCACAGTTCTGGACCCTGTGGTGACATCTGGCAGAATAAGACTAAAGGTGTCTCTCAAACTTAACCAATAGGAAACCATCGCTTACCTTGGCAGAGATTTGGGGAGCAAGAGAGGTGGAAAGCCGACCCCAGGGACTCAAAGTGAAAGGGACATGAGAGCCCCATGAGAAGGAAAGTAACAGCTAGCTATGCAGGGCAATGTTGACATTGGCTTTACAAACATTTGATAAAGTCCTGCACTCTTGTGGGGACATACTAGGTTGAACCCTATGAAACTGTGATAGGTCACAGTGCTCAAAGAGGAGCCAAGTCCTGGGATGTAACCCAGCACAATCGAAAAGTTGGGACACAACCTTTATTTTGGGTAATTGTGTTCTACAGGGAACACAGACAAGACCATCACAAAAGCACCACGCTCTGTCCAAGGTGTACATCGGGCTTGGGGACAATGACAGTAGCCTTGGGGACACAGCACAGAGCCTAAGTGTACACCTGGGGTACGAGCCAGGCAGTCCCTATATCTGTCTCATACTTTTCTGCCAGGACCTGCCCAGGCCCTATGCTCTCTTGGACCTGATCCCTCATCCTTAAATCCAGGTACTGATAAGATGAGGTAGACTGAGACCTCTGTGTGCTTGTGGTCATAAGTACATAAAATAACACCACCCCCAGAATCATGACGATTAAATCAGTTACTTCCTGCCACCCATCAGTGAGTGAATGAGCAAGCCAAATATGGTCCAATCATACAATGGAATACTATGCAGCCTTAAGAAAGAAGAGAATCCTGACACAGACTTCAACATGGATGACCCTTGAGGTAGACAAACCCTACACGATTCCACTTCTGTGAGGTACCTAGAGTAGTACAATCTATAGGTAGAAAGTAGAGTGGTGGTTACTTGGGGCCGGACAGGGGAACGGGGAGTTGGTGTTTCACAGAAAAGAGTTTCCGTTCTGCACAGTGCAGAAGTTCTGGAGATGTATGGGGTTGGCAGCTCACAGTTCACACCCAATATGGCTACACTCAGGGTGCATTTGAAGATGATTTAGAAAAACTTTATGTTGTGTGTATTTGCTCACAATGAAAATGAAAAACTTCAACGAGTTACTTAGAAAGCAGTAACTGTTATGCAAGTATTTGTTGAACAGATAGAGACCTAACAAACTGACGGGAATGGAGAACAAGAAATAGCCCTAAAGATAAAAGAAAGAATGAAGCAGCAAGTCAAGTTGGGAGGGACCTCCCGTGAGACAGGTTGGGGAGTGAGGTCACACCTCATGTCCGATGAGGACAGAACAGAAGTGGGGAGGCAAGGTGGGGTCCGTGCTCTTCGAGGACCAAATGAGAGATCGGTCCTCAGGCACCTATTTATAGGAAAGTCCTGTGACTGTCAGGCCACGTGGAAGTTGAAAAAGTTGTGCAAATGCTGTGGCCGTGTTTATGCGTAGGTAGAAGCTGACCTGAACTGTGATGAGGCTCCTGTCCCTTCCCATGCCTCCCCAGGGAGAGAAGGGACACCCAGGCAGTTGTCTCAGCCTTTTTAGATGGCCAGTGCAGACCAACCCCAGACAGCCAGCCTGAGCTCATCCAGGTGGAGCCTGGACAGCAGCAGGCTGAAAAGTTCTCTGGACCATTCTGTTGTGCAGCCAGGAGTGAGGGCCACCAGGTAGAAATGGCCATGACTCTCTGAAAACAGTGGACCCCCATGGCCACAGGTTCTTCATCTGTGGAGTCAACCAACTGTGGACCAAAAGCATTAAAAAAGCTGCATGTGTACTGCATGTCACAGATGTTTTCTCCCTGCCGCCATTCCCTAAATAACGTAGTGTGACCACTACTTACACGGCATTACAATGCACTGGGTATCAGAAGTGACCTAGAGTGACTGACAGCACACACGAGGCTGGGCGTGGGTTTATGCAAACATCACACCACTTGATATAAGGTCTCATGGGATTTGGGGTGCGAGGAGCAGCCCTGCAGACACCAAGCAATGGTGGCAGTGCCACAGTACAACAAGCAGCACATTTGCTCAGGAGATGGAGAGTCAGGAGGGGACAGGTTTCCCTTCCCAGTCAGCAAGGACTCCTGAGGGCATCGCAGGCTGAGCACGATCTCAGGAGGCCAAGCTGCACTGGACAAGAAGAAGCTGCCAACCTTCACGGAAGTGGGAAGCCCAACACCAAGGCTGTACTTGCTGGGGCCTCTCCCATCAGTCAGCACAAAGGGCTTCTTTCTCAGGAAGCAGGACCCACAGGCCCCCTCCCTCCAAAAGGACCCCTCCCAGGACAAAGCCTCTGACAGTCTCTACAGCAAGCCCTTCCAAGTTCTTGGTTTTGTGGAAGCAGAGAAGAGACAGGAGGGGATCGAGGTGGCGTCCACCAGTACTCACAGCTGGGTGGCTTGGTGCAAGGCAGCCCTGGCCTGAGTTGCCAGGTGGCCCAGGAAGCTGTGGACGGCTGGCTGTTGTGAAGGAAGTGCCAAGGCCAGGCTGTCACTCTCCTGCTCCAGGTCTTCCAATCTCTGTTTCAACGTCTCAGCTGGAAACCCAAGTGATAAGAGGGAAAAAGGGCCGTGAAACTCAAAATAGATACCTGTGCCTCCACTCCAGCCCTCGCCCACCTCCACTGAGTGACCCCACACAGAGGGCTGTTTGTCACCTCACGGTGACACAGCCTTCCCACCTCGTTCCCCCACCTCCGGGGCCATGGTTAACATGCTTACTTGACAGTCGTCACTGTGAACCACATACAGAGGGGTACTTAATGTTAATTACTTTCAAACCCATGGAGAGCATTTGGGATAAAACCGACTAATTCTGATTGGGTTCTATATATAAATTTAAAAAAAAACAGTGCCCAAGAGTTAATTTTAAGAATGTTTCCTCAAAAAAAAACATTGCACATCAGATTGGAGCCAACCATGGCCCCTAAACCAGAATCATTCACATCCCTCACGCCACCAATGGCCGTGGGTCCACCTATGCTGCAAAGTTGGGGTCCTGTGATGGTTCTAATGACCTCAGGTGTCCTGGGACGAGGTATAAGTATGGAATTACTGTAAGACAATTGTAAAACAAGCTGTTCTATTGGAATCCCTCCAAGGAGCACTTACCTTCATGATCAAATACCTACAGGATCAGAAACTCTCCAGTAGTCCCACGTTTGGAGAGATGCAAGAATTAGTCCTTCCTGGCTGTCCCTGACAGGCAGCATCAGCACCCTGAACCTCTCCCCCGGGGGTCTGGGGAGGGCTTTAGGGTGGCCCAAGATCCTACGAGCCCCTGCTGCCCGCTCTGGTGTGCAGCACTCATACCCTTTCCTATGACGTGACAATAGCCCTCTCCAGAGGCTCTGCTCGAGATCACAAAAGCTGCTGTCCCTGCTGTCTGGGCCATTTCCAAGGAGGCCATTCCTATGGGATTTGATTCTAAATCAAATCCCTTTTTCTACGAGCTGTTGCTCTGAACAAAGCCAGGTCAATGTGAACCATGGTAGGCCTCTCTACACAACCCTTCTCTCACACCAGCCCTCTCCCATGGCACACACCTGGATGAAGGAAAAGCCAGTGAACAGGTGTGTGGCAGCAAGCCTCTGCCTCTGGGGCTGTCACCTGAGAGATCTTCCCATAAACTCACCAAGTGCCCTGGAACCAGTAACCAGAGACGAAGAGAATTTACCTAGGATCCATCCTGGTAATGTGTCACCTGTCCAGGACCGAGTCCCAAGCAACTACCAGGGCTCTGCCTGTCCCACCTCCTCCAGAAGTTCCTGCTGGAGCTAATTAGACATGGCCTTTCAATACACAGTGTAAACTGGGTGTCGGTGACTCATGGCTGGAATTCTAGCTACTTTGGAGGCTGAGATTGGGAGGATCATGGATTGAGGCCGTGGGTGGGGAGTGAGTTAGCAAGACCCCATCTCAACTTATTACTGGGCACTCTGGTGTGCGCCTATCATCCCAAGAGACTCGGGAGCCTGAGATCAGGAGGATCATGGTTCCAAGCCAACCCAGCCAAAAAGCAAACCCTATGTCTAAAATAATCAGAACAAAAGGGCTGGAGATGTGGCTCAAGTGGTAGAGCACCTGCCTAGGAAGCACAAAGCTCTGAGTTCAAATCCCAGAACTACCAAAAAAAAAAAAAAGCAGTAAATTACACAGTACACATGCCCTTTCAATATAAGTGTTAATCAGACCCCTACAGTGACAGTGGGCCCGGCCGGGCAGAGTCTTCCCGGACAACACTGAAATGGTTTATTTCTTAACACCTTATTTGCTGCTCTGTAAAATCAAAACTTTGGTGAAAAGCAAAAAAGTCCAAAAAATAAGGCCTAATATCATTCTAATGTAGCAGTAAAGATGTGCCGAGGTCTCGTACACGGGGGGTGGAGAAAGCTGAGTCCGTGCATCAGCTGAGCCTGACCTTAAGTTATTTCACCTTCCTAAGCTCGTTTCCTGATCTGTGACCTGGGGTTAATAAAAGTGCCTATACCGTAAGTTCTGAGAATTCACTGAGCTAACACACAAAGCATTTAGCATCACACAGAGGACCATTAGGTACTGCTGTGGAAGGTTCCAGATACATCCGAGAATCAAAACAACAAAAACGACGGCACAGTAAACGAGGGGAAAAACGGCAACCGTATGGTGGAGAGAGATCTGGAAGCCATGGGCTGCCCAGGTGATGAAAGTGCACATCTGTGGAGAAAAAAACAGGTCCACCCTGAGTGACACCCAACGCCAGGGGCCCAGAACACACAGCACCTTTTCCAGAAGGTTCTTGTCATGAGGAAGCTTCAGACAGAGCCAGGCTGCAGTCATCAGACAGACCACCATGCGAGGTCTTCCCTCCTCAAAGGTTCAGGGGACATAGAAGTCCCAGGGGACAGACAAGTAATGAAAAACAGCACCAGGTGAGAGGAGCCCTCATGCCAGGAGGAATGAGCATCACAGGAGACCACCATGGGGTCGGTGTTGACCTGGAGGCTGCGGGTCAATGGCCTGGGGGAGTGTCCTTGTATGGGGACATACACCCAGTCCTGCAGGACGACGGTATCATAGCTGCAGTTTGTCATCAAATGACCAGGTAAGGGGTCGTGATGAAGGCATGTGTCCAGTCAGGGTCTGGGCATGAGGGAGAAGTCGAGGTCTGTACTATATCTGACTTAAGTGCGAGTGCAGAAGTACATCAAAATAACTCACCTTTAGACCACAGATAGACAACCCAGCACTACAGACGCCATGTTTGTGGCTCACACACTAAGTCCCCTCAGCTGCACGGATCCAGCTGTGGCTTTAGAAGCCCTCCTCTCCTAGTCCCAGTGGCAGAGGAAACAGAACTTTCTCTCCTTGGCTCCTCTCTCAAACCCCCACAGTCTTCCTGTAGACATCTTAAACGTGATTTCAGTTTGTGACTCAAGGTTAAGGCCAGCATCCTGGACAGTGAGCTGCACACAGCAGGTACCAAATGCTGACTGACCATCTGACTAACAGGGACAGAGGCTCTGCCTATAATCCTAGCTACTTGGGAGGCAGAGATCAGGAGGCTTAAGGTTCAAGGCCAGCCCAGACAAGAAGTTCAAAAGACGCGTTTCATGCAATAGAAAGTTGTATGTGTAGGACACACCTGTCATCGCAGCTCCTCAGCGGGAATAAACACGAGACCCTTATCAAAAACAACCAAAGCAAAAGGGACTGGGGGTGTGGCTCCAGTGGTAGAGCGCTTGCCTAGCAAGTGCAAGGTCCTGAGTTCAAACCCCAGTACTGCAAAAAGAAAGGAAAAAAGGGAGGGAGGGAGGAGGTGGGAGAGAGAGAAGAAAAGAAAGAGAGAGAAAGAAAGAGAAAGGAAGGGAGGGAGAGAGGGAGGGAGGGAGGAAGGAAGGAAAAGAAATACTGGTTGCACTTTGTAAACAGCTGAATAGTAAAATAAACAAATGAATTCAAAATTAACCAAGGAAGATGTAGCAAACAACGACCAAAATCATGCACTGGAGAACAAAGTATTTTTTCACGCTGCTGCAATGTCCTCATCAATGTTTAATACAGGGTCACCTGCTATTCCTCAGCACGCCAGTATTAAGTGCCTGCTACTTGAGCTACAAAATGGAAACACAGTGAAGCAAAAGTGCTTTCTCTACCTATGAATGAGCAAGCAAGCAAGCATTTTTGAAGCAGCAAGGCACCACACGTAAAGACACCCTGTGAGATAGATTTGATTCCTGCTGTCCGTCAGTCTGTGGGGTGGCAGAATCCATGGTGTAAACCATATTCTTAGAGACTGGAGGCCACCGACATCCTCGGGCCTCTCGGTCTGAGCGGTCATCAACAGTTTCATGCATCGTTTTTCTCTGGTTTTCACACAACAGCAAAACAACACAATTTATGGAGAAATCACCATATATATCATGCACAGCTGACCAGTTTGCAAAGAATTAGACTGTAATAAAACATATTTCTGATCATTCTGAGCAACACGGAGCCAGCCTGAGGTCAGAATACTGGAGTTTGTTGGGTCCATCATTGGAGCACTGTGGACTTCAAGCGTAATCATCATTTTGGTGTCTAGTAGCGTACATTGTTTCTGAGCTCACAACAACCTGCAGTGTAGAACTGCAAGTGTAGAAAGTGAAGTTCGGAACATTTCAGTGGTTTTCCCACCATCTCAAAGTGAGCGAGTAATAAAGGTGGGTTTGAACCTCCGTCTTTTCTAGTGCCAGCCCCAGGCCTTTCCAAATTCCCCACAGCCAGCCCTGAAGCACACCTGCTCCTGCTGGTCCCCATCACACAGGGGCCATGTCTGCCTGTTCATGGGTCTGGGTCCTGGACACGGTGGAGTCGTCAGGTGGGGCTGAGCCGTGTCCACCTCTGTCTCGCCAGCATCCAGCTCAGTGCCGGGCGCACAGCAGGCACTGAAGCAAGTAGGTGAGTGAGTGAGTGTCTGGGATGAGGCTTCTGCAGACAAGGAAAAACAGCTTCCATTTTATGAGGGTCACCATCATGCCCTATGCCAGTCACCACTGTCACAGTGACCCCGTGGGACCCCCACTTGGCGAATGAAAAACTGAGACTTATGGAAAACTGAAGAAATTCTTCTAAGTGAGTCACACAACTGTGTGGGTTCAGAAATAAGGCCAAGGTCTGCCTGGCTCCCACTCCATGTTCTCCACACTGTGCTCTTTCTAGGGGGCCAGTGGCGTATTTTTGACTACGCATGTCTTGAACCACTACACAAGTTTCAACTACTTCAGCGTCTCTCCCGCTTTCTCTGCCTCTTTCTCACACAAAGTACCGAGTGCTCCACACAAACAAACAGGAACCCCATAAAAGCTAAGACATCTCGGATCTGACCGCAGGGGAATTGGCTTCCCGTGCACCTGGGCACATCCTCACACCAGATCACGGTGTGCAGTGAGGCAAGGGACAGTTAGGAGAGCAGTGCAGAAATATTTCAATAATACAGGATAAAAACAGGTTGCAAAATTATATGTGTACATTACCCATACTTTAAGATTACGAGGATTAAAAAAAAAAAAACCTAAGA